GGGGCGCCTCGTCCCCGCGCCCTGCACCCGCCTCTGCGCCGTCTCGTCCCACCTCGCAGGCAGGTAGGTAGGTGCCCCCTGCACTGGTCTCCCGACCTGTCCCGCCTCCCACAAGCGACTGCATGGCTGCCCCGGCTCTGACACGTCCCGGGTGTAAGTGACCCTAGTTATGATGAGTGAGGGAGTGAGTTGATACTGGGGCTGGCCAGGAATGAGCTGTGGATGACCCAGACTAGGAGGGACACGCTCATGTGGTGGCAGGTATCTGCATGTGAACTCCCCGATGCGCTTCCGGACTCGCTTTGTTCTGGTCTGTGCTGGCCGCTCCGTCCCGAGCGGCACTTTGTTTCACAGTCATGTTCAAGCGCAGTGACTAAGGGCGGTGTAGGCAGAGCCCACGGTGCTGGGAGTCCTTCCAAAAGGTGTATGGACTTGCTTGAGTTAAGGCAGCATAGGACGGCTTGTGACAAGCCCTTCTAGCCATACACACAAGAGTGTGGATATTTTGTATGTTTGCTCCCATCCATCTGTTATTTCTCATCTTTCCCAAATACCCCATTTCCTTTTTGCGCTGTTATTTTCCCATTTTTTCCACCTCTCCCATCATTTTCCTCTTACTCTGTAAGTCTTTTCCGCCTGCTACTTCTCTAGTTTCCAGTTAGGGCTGCCCTCTGCCCATCATCAGTCAGTCTCCATTTCAGTGATTTGTTTTGTTTTTGCAGGCTTCAGACATCACTTTGCAGCAGCTTTGTTTCTGTTGGTGGGATTTCAAAATAGAAAGTATTGGAAATCTGAAAGAGAAGTAAATGTAAATGGCAGCGTAATTGCCTAAAAGCTGTAAACAGGAGCAGGAACAGTAAATCTTCACACATTCTTGAATTTTCTTTTGCAGTCACACAAGTGAAAGGCTAATCTGCTTTGAGGGATGATGGGGTTCTCAGTTTGGGGGTTACAAGCAGATCCCATGTCAACCTGGCCCCCTGTCTCCTGCTACTGTCCTGTTGCCAGAATTGTGGCTTGCTTGGGCCAGGCTGGGCTTCTCACATTGCTGGTGGGGAGAAAGAGGGAAGTCATAGGCAGCAGAGGGACACAAAAGGTTGAGAATCACTATTGCAAGGTATCGTTCATTTCTAAGGCAATACTACTGCTGCAACCAGGTGTCCTCCTATGGATATAGCTTTGTTGGCAGAAGTTTACCTGCCACCCAAGTTACATGAGCTGCCCAGCTGACAGAAGCTCTGCCAACAGAGCTGTGTCGACCCTGGGGACTTTGCTGGCAGAGCTCCGCTGGCGACAGCGTGTGATCTCTTCAGACCCCCAGTTCAGAGAGCTCTGTACGTACAAAAGGGCTAGGATCAGGAGTCTCAGGGAACATGCATAGGTATATGAACAGGTCTGGTAAAAAGCTTCTTGTGTTTTTTCAATTGTGTCCAATAACTGCAGTGGTATGTTGTATTGTGTAACATGTGGTGCAGGTATGTTTTACCACTGTGTCTTCTAACACTCAGACATGATATCTGGTCTGCATTAGTTTACATCTCCAGTGAGATGAATTAATGGTAAGAAAGATGGAGTCTGTAGCTTATACTAGGGTTCACACCTGTGTTATTGCTGAAAAATGGGAAAGAAGAGTCCATGTGGAGGCATGAGTAGTGCACTGGGGGAGCATCCTTGACCCCAGTGCATCTCGCCAATACTGAGCAGTGGTTGAGAGGTTTAAATGCTTGTCTCCATCTCTCTGTTGCATATCTGTGAAGTGCTGTGATACCATAGAGAAGAGCTGCACAGATAAGATAATCTGTTTCCTTTTAATTGGCAGAGTTGTTTACACATGATCTCTTGCTCATTTTCCTCTTTTAAAGGAATGCATATCCATCCATGATTACAGTTCAGGTCAAAATCCCTCAGCACTTGTAGCAAATCTCTCTTAATTGGTCTCATTTAACTCCCATAAGGGTATATTTTATTTCTCTCTCTTCCAAATCCCTCTCTCCATTCTGTAACGTAATTTATTACAGGGTACATTACAGGCAGAGGAACAGCCTCTGGCTGTCAACAACCTTTGTGGTGTGTCAGATTTCCAGCATAAAAGGCAGCTGCAGCAGAGTTTGTGGGTGCGAGGTAGTGATGCTGCAGCAGTACACAAGCAATCTGTGGTGTTGGCTTCAGGCATGAAGTGTCCATTTTGTTCCAGAGTCTTGTGTGTCTGGAGATAACAAGGGGGAATACTCCTGTTTTTGACTCTCTCCTCCAGCATCCATGTTGCTTTCGCTAATGTTCAGGGTCTTTGAGTTCATTTATTCTGCATTCTAGCTGTCTTCCTCTTGTTCATGCCACATTGAGACTGTAAATATCACTAGGTTACTGTTTTCTCTGAATTTTGTCTTGAAGAACATACAGATAATTGATTCTAGACTTTATTTTTTTTTAAAAAGGCCAGGTATGCTACAACATGTGTAAAATTTGAAGTAATTTATCGCTTATGAAAGTTTTGGAAGCTGTTGCTTTGCCTAGTGGGTCATGGTAATGTAAGTCAATGTAATTCTGGGCTTCACCATGCTTCTAGCAGTACATGTTGCTCCTCACCGCTGATAGTATCTGCTGTAAATCTCTGCCAGTGCACCTAACTTCTGATCTCCAGTTATCCTTTCTACACAGTAGATCTTGCATCACTTGGGTGATACAAGGCAGACCTTGAGTCTCTTGACAGTTTCTGCCCAGTACTGTACTATACTTTTAATTTCAACCCAAATGCAGAAAGATAATGAGAAATACTATCTGACGTGTTTCATTTGTGACTTACAGGGTGGATAAACATCAACAATTTAACAAACAAACAAACCAACCAACAGATTTTTTACCTAAATTGGATTTTTTTTATTTAATTTTTTTTTTTTTTTTTAAAAGGCTTTTAAACCCCCCCCCCCCCCCCCCCCACATATATAGTTTGAATTTAAGATATGTTAAAGCTCAAAGATATCATCATGGAATAGGGATTATAACTTCTAATTATATACTATTTGAGACCATATATTCATGGAACGTGTTTAGAAGTTTTATAAATAGGTCACAACAGGCCATGGACTATATGAGGGGCCCAATCTTATGGGGTTCCCAGAAGCTTCTCTGTAGATTAGTAAAGGTTAAAGAGAGCCACTCTACCCAATGGGACTCAGTGCTCAGTCTAGAACAGGGGTGGGCAATTATTTCAGGTGGAGGGCCACTTAAGTTTTGGCGAGCTGTTGGCGGGAGCTGCATAGGTAGCCCCACCCCTTGACAGTTGCCTCCCCTCATTGGGACCAGAACTCCAGCCCCCTAACCCCTGACCTTTGCCACTGGAAGTCCTTCCCCTTGCTGCCACCCTCCTTCTTACTCCTTTTGGGTGTGGTGGTTGCCATCTTGGAACCAGAAAAATAAATTATACACTAGAAGTCACACGCCTACTATAATATATTTTAATTTTATTACAAAAAAGATTTGCCATGACTTGTGTACTGTATATAGAAGGGATTACATAATCACAACTCAAAAATTGTGTCACTCTTGTATTGGCTGGGGGTTGCGGTGTGGGAGGGTTGTGAGGGTGTGACTTTGTAGGGGGGTATAAGGTATGTTGGGGTGTATGTACGTATCAATGGGGGTTGTGGGGATAAGGTGTGAGGGAGGATGGGGGGTGTAGGGACCCCCCACACACTTTCCCCCATGGCATGCAGCCCCTGCCGCTGACAGCAGCAGCAGGCAGAGAGGTCAGAGTGCTCATGTTGGTGCAGGAGCCTAGTGGGGCAGAGTTCCTGCCAGCGCTGCGCATGGGGGTCAGGGGAGGAGAGGAGTGCAGCACAGCCTGCCTGGCTGCCTCTATTGCTGTGGCTCTGTGCCACATGCCTGCAGCTCTAGCACTCACAGCGGAGGAAGCCCCACGCTGGAGTCTGCTGCCTTCTCATCCCCTGCTGTGCAGGTCCCTGCATTCTGCTGGGAGTGGCAGGAGCCCTGCCCCCTGATTCCTGCAGAGTCCTGTGTAGGGCTTCCCCATTGCAAGTGCAAGAGCTGCTGGTGCACCACACTGAGCCCGTGATAGCAACAGCCAGGCAGTGCAGTGCTGGCCGCCTCTATTGCAGGGGCTTCCGCACTCACAGGGAGGAAGTCCAGCGCTGGACTCCGTGGAGACTGCCTCCACTCCTCGCAGAGTGCGGGGACCTGTGCAGCAGGTGGTAGGGAAGGCAGCAGGCTTCAGTGCAGGGCTTTCCCCTGAAGGCCTGCCGTGAGCCCTGGTGATAGAGGCAGCCAGGTAGGCTGTGCTTCCCCTTTTCCCCCAGCTCCCCATGCAGCACTGGCCAGAGCCGCACCCCGCTGGGCACGAATGTCCTGACCTTCCTGCCTGCTGCTGCTGGCAGGCAGTGGGGTCTGCACACTATGGGGGGAGTGTGTGGGGTCCCTACATCCCCACCATCACACCCACACCCTGTCTAGTCGAGCTTCACACTCCCACCACCCCCCTGGGTGCAGACTCCACGCTGCACTCCGCACTTCCACCCAGCTGCAATTCTAACCACCCCCTCACCAGCCCTGCTGTGTCCCTACCTTGGGTGTATGTACAAGTGAGTTGGACTTCCAGGAAGCCAAGCAGTTCCCTATGGGGAGGGGGGGTGCTGCAGCAGGAGCCCTGCCCCAAAGCTGCTGCTGGCTGGGCAGGGCCCTTCTGACCAAGAGGGTGGGAGGAGGCACGGTAGGGTATGTTGTGGGGGGTTGTACATGGGGATGCCTCCCTCCTGGCCTTGCCAGGGGAAGGGCTGGGCTGGGCAGGGCACATCACTGGGGGGCTCCGTGGGCCAGATGAAAGTGCGCAGTGGCTGGATCCAGCCTGTGGACTGTATTTTGCCCACCCCTGGTCTAGAAGATCTCATGAAGCATCTCTGTGATGCTTACATTCAGTTCTCAAACTGGATTTGTGTCTCCAGAGATCCTAGGCAGACAAGGTTCTTTGGGTAGATGTGATATCTTTTATTAGACCAACTAAATAGTTCGAAAAAGTGTTCTTTGCAAGCTTTCCAGGTACAAACTCCCTT